ATGTATAGCTGCAATGACTCCTTCAGATAAATCATGAAATAATGCTTATCCAGCAGCTTTCTCATAATTACCCACCTGTTCCATTCTAATGGAATCATAAATAATTAAATAAATAAAAATTTAACTTTTTTTTAAAAATATTCTTTATCTTTGAAGAGTTTCCTCTAATTCTTTTTTTCCAAAACCCCATCCACATATGGTCAATGCTAATTTTCTTTGTGATAATTTAGAGTTAATACCATGATAGGAATCTCATTTATATCAATTTTTTCCTGATCAGATTTTTCAGAAAAAGATTTTGGTGGTGATACTTTTGGGGTTGATATTGGTGACACTTTTTTACTGCCGCCAGTGGATGCTACTTGTAAAAAGGATTTTAAATTACTTAAAAAAAAGAAAAATAATATATGATATTTCAGGAATAAATCAAAAATATTAACCTATTCATACTGAATAGATTCATTGAAAATTAAAATCATTATTTCCTATGCATGATTTTCCTTCTGAAGAAAGTTTTTCCGCTCCTAATTAAATATAAAATTTATAGTTAGATATCTAGCTAATTATTTTAGAACACAAGATTGGCTATACATATGAGCTATCCAATTTCATAACATTTTCAATTTTAGAGAGTCTCTTACAAGGTCTTCATTAACACGACAGTATATAAATAGAATTAGGTATAAAAAAATAAATCTTTGAATATGATATCTTATGATTTGTTAACACTTACAATCATAGAATATTCTTGTTTAGCCCTCTTACGCATGACAACAGAAATATCTTGCAATGTTTTTAAAGGTAATATTAATCATCGTCATCTTTTTTTACCAACCAATCGTCAAATCATCATGAGATCAATGTATTATTATACCTTTTAATTATTTTTTTTAGAACATTCATATCTTTAGAAGAATTACTCAGATCACTAGGTCTAGGTGTACTATTCCCATTATTATAATTGTTATCAACCTTTAAATCTAAAGAAACACGATGTTAATGTCCATAACCTGATCCACTATTACTATGATGATGATATAAACTCATCATCAATATTATTAAGAATATCATCATCTCTTCTTTCAAAATCGTCATAATCATTAATTTTTTGATCAACATCGTATGTTTTAAATGAATTTGGACTAAATATGTTAATATTACCATGTGGTTTTCAACCGAAATTTATACATTCTTCCAGTGACTGTTTCTAACGTTAACTCTTTATTTATCACCAACAATCGGTGTGAATGAGATGATAATATAGTTGGTATCCAAGTGAAAGATACAA